AATACCCCCCATTTGCTAGCAGGCAGTGCTGCGTCAGGAACAATTGGAGATATGGGTCCTGAAATGTGTCTGAGCCTGAGTGATTGTCACCTCTGCTCACTTTTGTCCCCATGCCTAGACGTTTGGGGAGAAAAGGAGAATTTGCCAGGAAATAAACCCGTTTATGGCCAGGACGCTCCATGTTGATGCAGCGGGACTGGGACTAGGTCTGGGACCAAACACCGCGGCCTCCCTCTCTCTCTTGAATGTGGATTTTAAGTTGGATTTCATATTCATTTCTGTTTTTTTTAACAGTCATTGGGTAAAGGATGGAAACCCAGGGTAAACGAACGTCTGTCGGGAAATTCACTTGGAAAGAATGCAGTATTGCTACACGGCCATGAGGATGCATCATTGTAATTTAAAGGCTTAGCTGCCTGTTGTTGCTGATTGTCCCCATCACAAAGGACACAGCTCTACTTACTGCCTTTCCTTGTGCCAGCCCAGCCCTGCGGTGCTTGTGCAGTGAGGCCTGCAGAGCCGCGTGACCCTACAGCACTGCGTTCTGCATGGCTTAGCTTTCGCTTTTCTGCCTGCTCTGGCACACTCAAAACAGGACCACAGGGTGGGGGAGATGTGGGGAGAAAAGAGAGAGTTTCTCTCTGGAAGATCAGGATCATTAGTACTGAGAGCTAAGTCTGGGGGGGAAATACAATTTTTTTAGGAAGGGTATTGTATGCATACTATATTTCTAGGTCATCAAACTGGCAAGATGAAGTCTCCTACACTGTACTAACCCACCCATCGCATTAGGAACAGAGGAACTGTCCCACCAGAACAGCAGATGGTCCAGCTCATCCAGGATCCTACCGGTGATAGTGGAATGGTCAATGCTGGCTGCTTCAGAGGAAGGTGTCAAACACCTCCTTAATGATCCTGACTGAGTAATACTGTACCTGTGCGGAGATGAGGGAGGATGGGTCCTTTTGACCCCATGTGGTGATCAGTTCCTGCCTTGCAGCACGAAGATTTACTTCTGTCAAATTCCTAGGTAAAGGTAGGCAGGACTAGTGGCAAGAACTTGGGATCCCAAAACTGAAGCCAGGGATCAGACCAGTATCAGAGTCAATAGTCAAGCCGAGGGTCTAGCCAGAGTCAGAAATCATGTCCAGGGTCAATACCAGGTATCGGGGTCGGTGTTGGGTTTTCAGGGGTTGATTAGGAGTCAGAGCAAGGTCAGTGCCAGGAGTTCAGAAGTACGGTAGCTAGCTAGGAATCTACATTGTTGCCTAGACACTTCCTAGTACGCCCCATGGGCGATCTCTATGGTCAAAGAACCAATCAGGGATCGCTAGACCACTGTCAGTCAGATCACCTGAGGTGGAATTTCCTTGGTAGGTTGTAGGTCACAGGGAGTGGCCCAGGTGACAGTGTAGGGATGTTGGTTGCCTTATAGCCCTGCGCAGACCTGGGATTACAACCTCCCCCATGCAGAGCAGCTGACTCACTGTTCTCCATCCAGAACGCCACGCCAAAGAGAACTGCTGAATTCAGCCACTTGGAACTGTGGGTTAGATACAGCATAGGTAGTCACTCTGACACGCTGTAACATGGGTACCAGGTCTGGGTATTACTGCCGGTTATTGACAAGGCTGAAGGAAGCATGATAGATGTAGGTTGTGAGGCTTGGGAGGGGTAAGGAAAAGTGGTTCACTGCCTGTTGTCAATAGCTAAGCACCTGCCTTCATCAACTACCATAGAGAGAGCTACAATATTTTGATCACCTGCTGGCATGATGCTGTTCCTGGAGAGTGGCCAGTAGGATGATCCTAGTTCACCTTGTTTCCCAGAGGGCTGGTCCCCTGTGTTTGTAAAGACAGAATCTATTAATCTTCAGAAAGATCCCAAAGTTCAAGTGTAGAAACTTCAAAGAGAAGCACGTGCTCCAAAGGAGAAGTATACACACCACACGACCGCTAGTATCACTATTTCCAAAACCAACCATGGTTCCCTGCCTCGGGTTCATCAGCAGGCAGGTCAGCTAGTTATCACTCAGATGAATTTCTCTGTGAAAGGGGTCACAGGAATGGACTAAGCTACCTGGGATCTTGCTTTCTTAGGGGTTTATTACAAGGTCTGCCCTGTGCCTGCCATCTGCAGGGTGTCAAATTCACTCAATGGAAACAGCTGAATTGCACTTTTAATAGTTTCTAGAACAGCTCTACAAAATTAGCATGTTGTACTACCTTCAGCATACCACACATGTCCCACCGCACAGAGATCAAGGGTTGGGTCTGGCCTTTCTGTAGTGACTAAACTTTCAGTAAGTAGAATGTAATTGCCTTTGGCATCATGCATTAGCTTGTTTTCAGGCCAGTGCCTTTTCTTTAAACCAACGGTTCTCAACCCATGGGCAGCCCAATCAGCACACAGCTGCGGCCCATGTGACATCCTCAGGCCCATACAGGTAGAATATATCTATATCTATATCTATATTGTGTGGACGCAGCCCTCATAACACAAAGAGAGCTGCATATGAGCCCACAATGGTAAATAGGTTGAGAACCACTGCTTTAAACATTTGAGCTTGCAGCTACCCAATCTGCACACACAGTGGCAGTATTTGTACAAATTAGCCCCCAGTTTTGCACCCACTTTATTTGACAAGTTTCAGAGTAGCAGCCGTGTTAGTCTGTATCCGCAAAAAGAAGAACAGGAGCACTTGTGGCACCTTAGAGACTAACAAATTTATTAGAGCATAAGCTTTCGTGGACTACAGCCCACTTCTTCGGATGCATATATGCACGAAAGCTTATGCTCTAATAAATTTGTTAGTCTCTAAGGTGCCACAAGTACTCCTGTTCTTCTTTTTTTAAAAGTTACTGCATTGATTCACGCCAGATGATCTTGCAAGACCACACAACCAAGACTGAGAAAGGTCAATCATCTTTGCAATTATGTTATGGAC